GTTGCCTCTTTAATTCTCAGACCTCTAGCTATGGGAAACTTGGGTCTGAGTTCTCCCTTCTCTCAACACATTCTCCTTAAGTGATCGTATCCACCTGTGGTTTGGAATCCCATCTATATGCCCGTGACTCCCAAATCTGTATCTGTAATCTTGACCTTCCCTAGACTTGATATCTCCACTTGGAGGTCTAATGAATGTCTCCAATTACATGTGACCAAAACAAAGCTCTCAATGAAGCACCCTTTCCTGATTCTCCTCCTCCCCGAAGCTCCCCAACTTCATTTACTATCCACCTGCTCAGTTCCAAAACCAGATCCAAGAGTCACACTTGAGTCCTCCTTCCCCAGTCTTCATGTCTAGTTCATCTGAAGTCCTGGTGACTGCCTTCAAAACTAGTACCAAGTCCATTCACTCCTCTCCACTCTCTAATTACACTACCTGAACCAAGTCATCATTACCTCCTTCCTGGACTCCTCGAATTGTTTCTGATGACCTTCTGGCATTCACTTGGTCCATGACAGTGCCCTTTCCACTGCTCTTCCAACATGTAAATTGAGTCTTGTCCCTTTTGTTTATACTCTCTACTGCTCCCACCTCATGTGTGTATAAACCCCAGATTCCTTTACCTGAACAGCAGAGCTGTGAGTTCTCTGGTTCCTGACTGCCTCTCTATCACAGTTCCCATTACTCTCTGTCTTGTCTATGACTCTCCAGTATGGCCCAGTCATCCCAGCTCTCTCCTACACAAGGGCCTACAATGCTCCTTCTCCATCCTCATTGGACTGGCTTCTTCCTTCCTTCAGATCTCAGCTCAAATGTGGCCTTCCCAGAGAGGCACTCTCTGCCCACCCATCTTCCCACTGCACCATGCTCCTCTGCCCATAGCCATTTGTCAACTGATCACTTTATTTAATTCTCTGCATAGCACTTATCAATATCAGTCGTTCTGTTTCATTTCTTGTATATTACTAGATTAATTTATCTGGAGAGAACGTTTCAGGACAGTAGACCAGATAGCCAGACTTAACCACAAACTAAAACTAAGACAAAATACCAGATGATGACATTCAGTTTTCCAATATAAACAAACAACAAAATCCAGTGGCAATTTGACACTCAAACAACATAAACAAAAATAAGCACTCAGAATGCAAAGCTTTCATTCCAATGGGAACAGAAAGGTATGGAGACAAAAGAGTGGGTCAAGAAACTGAAGGAGATCAGAGGAGGTACCATGAAAGGCAGCAGAGTGAGTCTGTACAGGAGACAATGGAGAGGGGCCATAGACCCTTACTATGCTAGCGGATGAGGTATTCTTGGAAACTTGGCATATGGAGCCAGTCAGTTCTGATGATGCATGCTGCCCTGGCATCAAGACACCCAGTAGGTACCAAAGAAACATTTGTTAAGTATGAGGGAGACCCCCAAAACTCAGAATTTATTTACAAAAAATTGTTGACTTATTCTTACATCTTTAAACTTCAGTCATCTTCAAAGCACTCTCTGTTGGATGCAGTACTCCTACTGAGGTGCTTTTTCCCCTGCTCAAAACAATTTTTGAACTTGTCAATTTGGATGCCTTTTAGTGTTTATGCCATTTTTTGTTTCACCTCTTCCACATGGGCAAAACATTTTCCTCTGAGGACTTTATTTATCCAGGGAAACAGAAAAAAAAAACTGCTCAGGGAAAGATGGGGTGAATAGGGAGGGTAGGGCATGGGGTCATGCTGTTTTGGTTAAAAACTGCTAAACATTCAGTGCAGTGTGGGCAGGTACATTGTCATGGTGGAAGAACCAGTCACCTGTTTGTCACAACACAGGACATTTCTTCTGCAAATTGTGATGCAACCTTCTCAAAACTTCCAGATAAAACCCAATGAGTTCCTAGAACATTTACCTTACCTAGAGGGGAAAGCCTGTACAAGGAGCTAACCCTCCAAAAGATAATATCAGGTTTTGGGGGGGTTCTCCACATAAATTATATATGACACTGAATGAATTGAGTGAGAGAATGAGTAGGTGAGCCAAGAGAAACATAAATAAGAAGGCTGATGAAGGAATAATGATGGAATGAAAGAATGGTTGTCAGGCACTGGAGGAGCAAGGTTGTAGAAGACTTTGTTGTCACGACCAAAAAACGAGCCTGTAGCCTAGCAGAGGTCAAATATATTTGAGGAGAGAACCGATCTTTCCATTGTTTTTCTTCCCCCATCTCACAGGGATCCTGACCAAACCAGACCTCGTGGACAGGGGCGCTGAATCAGGTGTCATGAATGTGGTGCATAACCTCACGTACCCTCTGAAGAAGGGCTACATGATCGTCAGGTGCCGAGGTCAGCAGGAGGTCACAGAGAATCTGAGCCTGTCAGAGGCAACCAGCAAAGAAAGGATGTTCTTTGAAAAACATCCATATTTCAGGTCAGACTCTCTTTTATTTTAAAGCTGTGGGGTACAATTCAGGGTTAGGTATGCAAATGTTCATTATGCATGTAACCTTGTTGATGAGGTGTCCCCCCATCCCCTGGCAGTTTCCCACTACTGCCAATCTCGCTGGGAAAACTGACTGACCACATGCAGAAGATTAAAACAAGACCCCCTACCTGCCACCATACTAAAAAATCAGCTCTAAATGGATCAAAGACCTAAACGTAAAACCTCAAACTATAAGAACCTTAGAAAATGCAGAGACACCCTTTTATGGAAATTGGAACTGGCAACCAATTCCTGATCAAAACCCTAGGTGAGACTCTTTGGGAAAACCCTGCAACTTACTCCATGGGAGACATGCCCACTGACCAGAGTTGGCTAAGTTGATAACCAAGTTGTATATAAAAATGAACACAGCCAAGCATGGTGGTGCACGCCTATAATCCCAGCACTTTGGGAGGCAGAGGGGAGAGGATTGCCTGAGTTCAGGGATTCAAGACCAGCCTGGGCAACTTGGCAAGGCCTCATCTCTACAATGTGTGGTGGCGCATTTCTGTAGTTCCAGTTACTTGGAAGGCAGAAGCAGAAGAATCACCTGAGTCCTGTAGATTGAGGCTGTGGTAACCGTGATCCTGCCACTACACTCCAGCCTGGGCAACTCCAACTCAAAAAAAAAAAATTAACACAATGTAGCACAACCTATCCTTCCCTTATTTCTGTGTTAAATGTATTGACTTATTTAAGCAAATTATCATTGCTTGGATTCTAATAATGGTGCTGATTAAAAAGTAGAATGCAACATAAAGAGCACACAGCACTTTGGCTTCTGTGAGAATATTTCCACTTGCTTTCTCATGTGAGTTCTGCAAAATCTTAAGAGGTGCATAAGGCAGGTGACACCCTCCTACTTTTATAGATAAGGATAATATAGATATATAATATAGATAGTGAGTGGAAGTAGAGCTTTTAAATTCCAGAAATCTGTGTTTATCATGATAAATGGCACACATTAAAACCTGCTCTGTGGAACACTCCACCTTTTTAGAGCTTGCAACTAACTGGCTGTATTAAGCATAAATCATCCTATGCAGACTGTATAACCATGACTTTGCCTAGACTTGACATCTCTACTTGGATGTCCCGTGATGTCTCCAGTTAAATGTCATCAAAACAAAACTATCGATGCTGCATCCTTTTGAGGAAACTGGAATTTTCCCACTGGATTGAACACTTTATCCCTTCATTTTATTCAGGAACTTGCTATTTCTGGATGAGCTGGTAGCGGGTGATAAGACAGAGGTCACTTTTGCTTTAAACAGATTTATGATGGGTAATCTGGGCGGAGCAGCCTTGCTACTTGCTAATTATGTGTTCTTGGGAAATGGGTCACTCTCTCTGAGTTTTCACTGTCTCATCTACTCAAGGGTGCCCTACTGCTGCTTCCCAGGATAATGGTTAGGATTAAATAATATGACATATGGGACCAAGGTCTTGGGCACCAACAGCCAGCATTCAATAAATACCATCCCAGCCAGGGTTGATGGTTCACTCCTGTAATCTCAACACTTTGGAAGCTCAAGGTGGGAGGATTGGTTGAGACCAGGAGTTCGAGACCAGTCTGGGCAACACAGTGAGACCTCACCTCTACAAAAAATAAAGTAAATTAAAAAAAATTTAACCAGATATGGTGATGCACATCTCTAGTCTCAGCTATTCAAGAGGCTGAGGTGGAAAGATCACCTGAGCCCAGGAGGTTGGAACTGCAGTGAGTCATGATGGTGCAACTGCATTTCAACCTTGGCAACAGAGTGAGGCTCCCCAACTCGAAAAATAAAAGACCATCCCATTCCTTCTTCCTTCTTCTCTATTCCTCCTCCAAGCATATATAACAGATTTGTATTGTTAATAGCAGGAGAAGTCACGAGGGAAAACAAACTCTCATCACTGAGCAGGGAGAAGTTTCCATAATAACCAGACCCGTGGTTCTCAGCTCTTAGTAAGCAGCAGAGTCTCTGGAGAGTTTGTTAAAATCCTGCTGGCTCTGTCCTGCCCTGAGGTCTGGATTGGGACCCAAGACTGTGTTCCTAACAAGTTCTGGGTTGAGGCTGACACTGCTGGTTTAGAGACCACACTTCGAAAGTCACCACTCAAGGTCTTTGAGAAAGTCAAATCTTGGATTGGAAAGCGCACTGAAATGCTTGGTAGTTGAACACCCGAGTTGAAATCCTTGCATGCGCACTGCTCGGGATCGGCCCTTGCAGTGAGGAACTGAATGCCATGCTAGAAAAATGGTCCTTACAGCTAGGCGCAGTGGCTCAAGCCTGTAATCCCAGCACTTGGGAGGCTGAGGTGAGAGGATTGCCTGAGACCAGGGGTTTGAGACCAGCCTGGGCAACTTGGTGAGACCTCGACTCTACAGTATATCCAAAAATTAGCTGGGCATGGTAGCATGCACCTGTAGTTCTGGCTACTTGGAAGGCTAAGGTGGAAGGACCGCCCAAGCCCAGCAGGTTGACAGTGGCCATGAGCGTGTCAGTACATTCCAGCCTGCGTGGCAGAGTGAAACTATGACTCAAAAAAAAAATGATCCTTCCAGAATTCATGCTATTGGCAATCACTATGTAACCAGATTGCCTGACAAGCTGACCACCTCACCTCTCTGTATCTTGGCCTTTCTTTCTCTAAAATGGGTTGTTGAATGATGAAATACATTAATATTTATAAGGCCCAGTTAGGCTCGGTGGCTCAGTCTGTAATCCTTGGGAGATTGAGGTGAGTGGATTGCCTGAGCCCGTGGGTTCGAGACGCGCCTGAGCAACTTGGTGAGACCTCATCTCTACAATAAATCAAAAATCAGCCGGGCGTGGTAGCGCGCACCTGTAATTCCAGCTACTCGGAAGGCTGAGGCAGAAGGATCGCCGGAGCCCAGCAGATTGAGGCTGCGGTGGCTGGGAGCGGCCACTGCACTCCAGTCTGGGCGACAGAGTGAGACTTCAACTCAAAAATAAAAATAAAAATTATATATATATATAAAAGGCCCTTAGAATGGTGCCTGGCCCTTAATAAGCACCATACAAACATTTGTTATAAGAAATAAAATACTAATTCGGGCAAGTCACCTCACCTCTAGAAGATAACACATATTCTGTTTTCCTGTAGGTAAGATGACTTACCTCATGAGCTCATAGGAATGGTAAACAGGGAAAATAAATAGAACCTGACTGGGCATTGTGGCTCATGCCTATAATACCCGCATTTTGGAGGCCAAGGCAGGAGTTCAAGACTAGCCTGAACAGCACAGTGAGATCTCATCTCTACAAAACATCAAAAAATTAGTCAGGTGTGGTGGTGTATGCCTGTTGACTCAGCTATTCAGGAGGCTGAGGCAGGAGGCTCACCTGAGCCCAGGAGGTCAAGGCTATGATAACTTGTGATCATGCCACTGCGCTCCAGCCTGAGTGACAGAGTGAGACTCCACTTCAAAAAACAAAACAAAACAAAAACAAATGGACCTTCCTGGACCATTCTCACTGAGATGTGAGGTGTGAGCTGGCTCCACAAGCAGCAGGCGTCTTTCTCACATACCACCTGGCTTCTGATGGCATGTGTAGTCCCAGAGAACTGAGCTCACCCACCTACTTATGGAGGTTGGTACTGAAAAAATGATCACACAAGTCCTTGCTGAATACATGGGTGCTGTGTCTTGTTTCAGAAGTCTCCTGGAGGAAGGAATAGCCACGGTGCCCCGTCTGGCAGAAAGACTCACTGCTGAGCTCATTGTGCACATCAAAGTAAGCCAGTGGGTTGGGTGACAGGTGGTAGAAACAGCAGCCTGGTCAAGTCACTCTCCAAGCCTGGGGTGGGCTAAGATGCCCTGACCTGTCCAAATAAGCAAGCAGATAAGCACATTCTGCAAACTGTCTCCTTCACAGCCACAGGCTCATAGGAGAACTCCCAAAATGGGGAAACAACAATCACATGATGTTGAAACAAAGGTTGAATCAGTCCATTTGGGGCAGCAAAACTCTAATACCAGTTTAGCAATGTAAAAAAGAGTGACCACTGAGGCAGCAAATTTTCATTTTTTCAATAGGTTAACACCTCATAATATAAAAAAAAATGTCCTGGCTGGGCATGGTGGCTCACATTTGTAATTTCAGTACTTTGGGAGGCCAGGGCAGGAGCATCACTTGAAGCAGAAGTTTGAGAACAACCAGGGCAACTAAAAAAATTTTAAAAACCTCACCAAGCATGATGGCATGTGCCTGTCGTCCCAGCTACTGGGGAGGCTAAAGGAGGAAGATTGCTTTAGCCCAGGAGTTGGAGGTTGCAGTGAGCTATGATTATGCCACTGCACTCCAGCCTGGGCAACAGAGTGAAACCTTCAATCAATCATAATAAAAATGAATAAATAAATAAAATTTCCTATCCTCAAACTTGTAAGAAATAGTTTGTAAGACATAAATCTGTTTTTATAGATTTTCAGAAACACAACTACAGACAAAGTTCTCACGACATAATAAATCATAGGAAAATTTTGCATTAGTGTTTATGGAAAAATTGATATTTTTAGTGCTTCCCTAACCCTTCACAAATGAGGGTGAGCATCATGGGAAGATTTACATTTACTCTTAGAGCAAGGATGATTCCGGGTCCTGGATCTTTGTCCATGCTAAATTGTGTGTCAGACAAAGCAATGCATTATATGAACCAGGAAGCACACACTCAAAGAACGTCTGGCCAAAGGGGCCAGTGGTTCACAAACTTTAGTGTATACAAGAAGTACCTGGGGAGTTTGGTAAAACTCAGATTCCTGGGCCCCAGCTCCTGAGTTTCTGACTTATTAGGTCTAGGGTAGGAGCCATGATTTGCATTTCTAAGTTCCCAGGTGAACCTGGAACACACTTTGAGGTGCACTGATTCAAGTAGAATCCCCTGAATTTGCAGAAAAGGCTCTAGAAGCTATATTCCTGTCTAGTTGAAAAAAATTTTTTTGCAAAACATGTTATATTTTGATAACTTTTTTCTCAACATTTAAATTTAAAATTTACATTTTAAATTAATTTTATTTTTAAAATCAAGATTCAATTATGATTGTGATAATTTGGAATATCAGAAAAAAGTTAGTACATTTTCATCTAAACGTACAAACTGTCCCCCAAAAAAGATCCTATGAGAGTTTATCCGTTTCTTGATGGGACCCATCTTGCCCGGCCTTGTGTTACTCCACAAACCACATTGGAGTCTCAGTGAGCTCTTCGCTGGCTACAACTTTCTCATTCACCAAGCAGGAACTCGGGCCACTGCTCCCTAAGGTGTCCACCTGTAGCACCCCTCTGCAGGGGCTGTGGAGTTGGGGGTGCAGAGCGAGGTTCAATCCTATGCCACTCACTGGATCTGCAAATAATTGGATTCTCTGAGCCTTAGTTACCTCTCTGGCGACAAAGAGGCAGTGTACTGGAGAGTGGGGCTTAAATGAGATGCAGAGTGTGTCACCAACATCCAAGACACACCACTTACCAGTTTATAGCATTCAAATCACCACCAAAATCCCATTTCACTACAGAAATTCTATAGTATATCCAAATGTTCTTGTTCCCCAAATACAAGAAACCAAGCCAAATCAATCAACAGCAACAAAACAAAAGCAAAAACTGGCCACCATCCAATTTCTCTCTACTCCAGTGGCCTAACATATCTGTAAGATTCCAACCCAGGTCATCCAAGCTGCAGTACATGCCTTTGTATGCAAAGCTTTCCTTCTTCCGGCTCCTTAATGAGACACACGATAAGAGGGATCCTAGCTCTTCACAAATGCTTTAAAATAGGGGCCTACCCAGATACCTAAGAAAGCTGTCAGCCAGTCTCCTTGGGCTGCAGAGTTTCATCACTTGCAATTGTTTTGTTCAGAAATCACTCCCACTGTTAGAAAAGCAAATAAGGGACAGCCACCAGAGGGTAATCGAGGCGCTGCGGCGGTGTGGGACCGACATCCCCATGGAGGAAGCCAGCAAATTGTCCTTTCTGATTGAGGTGAGTATTCCCATGGGGCTCCAAGTGATACTGTGTCCTTCCCTGGTAGCCCGTGGCACCTGGAGGTGGCCATCAGTGCCTCCCTTCCTAGGACAGTGTCGGGAGCCCTGTTCCACCGCTCTGCCCTTGGTTTGCCAACCAGGTCCCAGCTCTTTCATGTGATTACAGCCCAGACTCATGTCTTTATATCATTTTCAGATGATCAAGGCATTTAATCAGGACATTGAAAAGCTAGTGGAAGGCGAAGAAGCTGTGAAGGAGAATGAAACTCGCTTGTATAACACAGTCAGAGAGGAGTTTAAAAACTGGGTCCCCATACTTGTAGCCAATATTGAAAAAGGTGAGTCCTGGGGCAGGCAGTCCCCCAAAAGCAGTGTCATATTTATCAAGACCAGAGGCTGCTTCCTGCAGAAAGAAAACATGCAGAGAGCCAAACATGCTCATCCAAGAGACTGTGGATCCCTTAGTAGTCAGTCGGTCATGCGTCCCAACCACCAAGACCCTTCCATGTGGGGCACTAACCTCACAACTCAAAAAAAGGCAATTCTGCTGCTTCTGATGTCTTTCTTGCTCCTTCCTTTTGAGGCTAAAAGATGTTTAGTTCCCATTCGAGAAATGCTCAGAGCAGCCCAAGGGGCTACGGACTGGCAATCCTGGGTGCCTGAAAAGGAGTCCACACCCAAGGTGGGTCCAGATGACCCTGGGGTGGCCCCATGGGAAGGCTCTCCAGTCACTATTGTGTTGAATGCACACCTGCTGGCTGTCAGTGGTGCTTTCATTAGGTGCGGCTCAATGTCTGCCTTTGAGTTTAGCCTGGTAAAAAAAGTAACCTGGTTTATTTTTCATTTTGGTGGACAGAGCACAGTATGGGTGCCAGAGGGCAGAGAGGAGAAATCCACATGAAATCATTCACCAACTTTCACCCTGGAAGGTCTAGGGTGCCATGATCTGGTTTTAGCAATAAGGAAAAAAAAAAAGACTGAAACAAGTGGCAGTTTGTTAACTACCAAAACATGTCCAGGGTCACTAACAATTCCTCCTACCCTAAACTGCCCCTTCTCTTTACCCCTAATCCAAGATCACAGGGATTACTGATTAGGCATGAGCCTCCTGGCTTCACCTGGTATAGTCCTAACTCCCATGTGATCCAGCCCAGATGCCAGTAGGATACGTGTGTGTGTGTGTGTGTGTGTGTGTGTGTGTGTGTGTGTATGTGTGTGTGTTGCTGTTGTTGTTGGATCTTTGTCCTTGCATTTGCTAAGAACAGCACTGTTGACTTCCACGGGGGGAATCTCGCTACCTGTAGTCTGTGGATACAAGCTTGGAGGTCTGTGAGTAAAGTAGTAAAGTTTAAGTTTCTATTTTCGCTTAACTAAACAGATATTTATTTATTCATTCATTCATTTTTACCAATTATGAACATTGAATCTCTCTTGATGATTCTCAATTGTAACACATTTTCATAGAATAAGATTTTTGCTTTTCAAGTATCAGTATTTCTCGAACTGCTTTTAGACAATGACCATTTTATTTTCACTATGAACAAAATAAAACTCCTCTTCGAATTACTGCCTTACCTTGAATACTTGCCTCAGCAGGGATCAAGGTTTTTAAAAACTGTTTCTACCTTTAAAAGATCTGTGGACTTGTTAGAATGAATTCACCATAGTGGTCTGCTTGATGTTGCAGTTAAAAATTTTATTCATGAAGAAGTCGAAAAATATGAAAAGCAGTATCGTGGCAAAGAGCTTCTCGGGTTCAATAGCTACAAGACGTTTGAGATCATCGTGCACGAGTACATCCAGCAGCTGGTGGACCCTGCTCTCAGCATGCTCCACAAAGTTGTTGGTGAGGACCAGCATGAGTGTGCCCCTCTCAAAGGATCACTCTAGTGCCTTCCATAGATCCTAGCACCTTGGAGGAGAGGTGGGATAGAGTCAGGTCTTCTCTCTGGTGTGCTAGTGAGCTATTTGTGTGACCCCATTGACGCAACCTGGGAGCTGGTCCCATTATAGATTCTTACCTTCCAACAGGAAACATGTCCCAAGGTCTCCAGGTGATCTGAAAGCACATCAAGCACCATATGAGCTTTCTATCCTGGTCTTTCGAGTTCATGAAGAAGGGTGATAGGATGGTTTCCCCTGTCTTTGGCAGGGAGGTGGAGAGGGCACATGAGCTTCACCTATGTCATACACAGCCCTGGACACAGCCATGTGAGGAGAAATCATATGCTAACTGTGGACAGGGCACATACCCCATGGTAGAGTGGGAAATTGATAGGACCTGCCCAGGCTGGGTGGGGGCTGTCTTTGTCCTTAGGGTCATGTCCTACCCTCTTCTCTGCTCTTGGTCTGTAGTTCTGGGGAGCTCAGCCCTGGAATGGGGTCAACGTATCCTGGATTATCTTCCTTGTGTTTTTAACCCATTGAATTCCTGTTTGCATTTGACTGATGTTTTGCTCTTTCTTTGGTCAGAAATTGTCCGGCAAGCTTTCAGCGACACTGCCCAAAAAAATTTTGGTGAATTTTTCAACCTTAATCAAGAAGTCCAGGTAAGCGCCCGAAGTTCACTTGCTAGACACCTGGACTACTGGCTGTTTTGTCTGGGTCTGACCTTTGACAGATGGTTGGATATTTACTGTTACTTGGAGCTACGGGGCCAGGGGTGTAATGGTCGGCTGGGGAGACTGGCAATGCCAAGAGCATCTGACTGTTTGACTGCTGCTCAGAAGTCATCTTCACTTCTCAGGAGAAATGAAGCAAGGCACGTGACCTGCTACTTGTTCTGTGTGGCCTTATGTAGCATGGCAGGACATGAGGCCATACCTAGGAACTGGCTGGTAGTTTAAATCTTTTTCAAACGCAAAGGACAGAATTGTCTGCTAGTCCTACTCCAACATTTGTACAAGTTTGACTTAAAAATACTGTCACAGCTCTTAGCAACTCTTCCCTGAACTATCTCTCAGTAAAAGGATATAAAGGGATGTTCCAGTCCCAACCTGGATTCTAAATAAGTCTCTTCTGTCCATGCCTGGGCTGGGGGCTTAAAATCTCTTTGCACAACTCAGGTGAGCAAAAAAGACAATTTCTGTCATTTTTCCATAATGTAACTTAGTTTCTCCTTTCACCCTTTGGTGGAAATTAAATTTTAGCTCTGACTCTTGCCAATTTTTCAGGGGTAGAGTTTGAGTCCCGGGTGCCTCATCATGGGGTGGGTGGTCCTTAATCACCAAGATGCCCACCATCCTTCCTGGGCTTTGGTGGTTGGTCTCCTTGGTGCTGGAAGACTTGGGAGGGTCTCCTGAAGCAGGGGAGACCTTCAACTCCAGCCTAGTACCAAAGTTCTTGACACTATCTTGAGAAAGAATTCAAGGATGAGTCAGAGTGAAGCAAAAGCAAAGGAGATTTATTATAAAACAAAAGTACACATCAAGAGAGGAAGTGTAGGTATACTCGAGAGAGTGAGTCATGCCCTACAGGACTTGAGATCTTTCTCTTTATAACTATCTCCAACTAAGGGGTAGAATATTATTCATATTAGGGGACAGAATGGTAATGAGTTTTCTGGGAAAGAGGTGGGGATTTCCAGGGATTGGTTACCATCTCCTTTACTGTCCTCATTTGGTCAAAACAGGAACTATCAAGGTGCTGGTAGGTGTGTTATTTAGTATGCTAAGGAGGGAATAATGGTCCTGGAGGTCGTGGATCCAGTCAGTCTTGGCTGGTTTGACTACATCCTGTTTTTATTGGCTCTTTGTAGTTGGTTGTTATAGTTCCTCCTTGTCTGGTCATGTGATTTCTTAACTTGCTGATTTTTTCCATCCTCCTGAGACCACCTGGTACTATTGCTATCTCACTTTGTGTCCCTGTGCTCAGGGTTGGTTCCCTTGAGCTCCTGCTCTGCCCTACTTGGGCATAAGATGCACTCTGCTGTAGGCCCCAGCTGCCCTGAGGCCACAGAAACTTCAGCACCCACCAGGGACCTTCACCTCGTTTGTGCTGCCCTTGGATAAACACAACCTTGCAATGACTCCCAGGACCGTGCCAGGGCCTGTGGGGCTCTCCAAAGTCATGGTCCACACCCTCAACCTACTGTTTGTGCTCTACCCTCCCTGAGCCACATCAGAGCCTGGAGTACGAGTCACCTCCCATATTACAAATCTTGAGAAGTAAGGCACTTCTTACTTGCCGCTTCTGCTCTCAGATGGCAAACCGGGGAGAGGACCTACTGTCCATTGTTGCAACATATACTCCACATAAAGAAGAAAAACCAGCACTTGTGAAACTCCCTAGTGAAGCTTACCTCTAAAACTCAACCCCTCTCTCTCAAACCAATGCTTCTGCCTTCAGTTTTTAAAAGTCTGTTTGAAACTCAAAAGCCAAGGCATGATTGTGTTAGTCAGTTCAGGCTGCTATCACAAAGTACTATAGATTGGTGGCTTATTATTAATTAAAATGTGTATCTCATAGCTCTGGAGGCTAGAAGTCTGAGATCAGGGTGTCAGCACAGTCAGATTCTGTTGAGGGCTCTTTCAGGTTGCAGACAGCCACCACCTTCTCATGTATCCTCAAATGTAGGAAAAAGAACAAGACAGCTGTCTGGGGCCTCTTTTATAAGGGCATTAACCCCATTTGCGGGGGTTCCATCCTCATGACCTAATCACCTCCTAACATCCCACCTCCTAATATCATAGCCTTGAGGGGCAGAACTTTTTTTTTTTTTTTTTTGAGTTGGAGTCTCATTCTGTCACCCAGACTGGAGTGCAGTGACTGCTCCCGGCCACTGCAGCCTCGACCTGCTGGGCTCCCGCGATCCTTCCGCCTCAGCCTTCCAAGTAGCTGGAACTACAGGCATGCGGTACCACACCCAGCTAAATTTTGATTTTATTGTAGAGATGACGTCTCACCAAGTTGCCCAGTCGGGTCTCGAACTCGCAGGCTCAGGCAATCCACTCACCTCAGACTCCCAAAGTGCTGGGATTACAGGCTGAGCCACCGAACCCGGCTGAGGGGCACAACTTTAACACATGAATTTGGGAAAGGTCAGTCTATTGTAGTGACTCCTCTCTGCTATATCATTCCTTTCTTTCCCAGAATACCTTTGCATGGGAGACATAAGAGTCTCAGGATTTCTGGGAAATATATCAAGCTACTACCCCACTGTGTTTGATAGCACTGGAGTCATTCTTGAGGGCTGGGATTCAAGCAGAGTAGAGTTGCAGGAATGACTGATGCCTTCATAAAAATGTGGAGTCAACCTGATGCAGGAAGCAGAAAGCTGGCAGTGTGGGAGGGCACAGGGGTGGGACAGAGAGAATGAAAGAGCAGGAGAGGGCTAGTTGGCAATGGCATGGGGGTAGTGATGGAATGGGGTTAATGAGGAGAGCAGCAGGAGTGAGATGGGACCTTCCAACAATCACTGTTTCAAGTTTCAGGCCCTCTTTGACCTTGGAATATTTTAAATTGTGGGTTCATATAACAGTACTTCTTAAATTGTTTAAGCAACAGGAAAGAAAAAAGAAGTAATGTGTTTGTCTTATCTAACCAGAAAAAGATCGAAGACTTCAAAGTGATATATGCAGAAAAGGCACAAGACATCATCCACCTTCAGTTCAAAATGGAACAGATGGTTTTTTGTCAAGATAACATTTACAGCGTTGTTCTGAAGAATGTCCGAGAAGAGGTTTTTAACCCACTGAGGAATCTTTCAGAGAATAGTCCATTAAACTCCCCTGCCTCAAACAACCAGTCTTCATTATCCTCCATTACTGAAATAAGTGTCCACCTGAATGCATATTTTGTGGTGAGTTCCCAGGTGACAGGATCATTGTACTCTGGTGTTCGCTGAGCAGAGGGTAGGCTATTCTGACCAGGGGGGCTTCATTGAGGGAAAGAGAGAGGGGCCTCTACAATGTATTAAGCCCTTTTGTATGATGCTAACTACTCACCTATTACCTCATTTATAATTTTACAGGAACCCAGTGAAGACACTTTTGATTAATTTGCCTAAAATCAACTTTTAATTTGGCAGATCATGTACTCAAGATTAATTCCAACCCAAATTCTTTATACGCAATATGTGAATTACATAATTACCATAATCAGAATACAGCATACAACAAACACTAATGATACTGGCTATAATTTAGCTTTCAGAAGGCATCCGACTCTTACTGTGCCTCAAACTCACCATCTCCACAAAATAGGAATGAAACTTCCTTTTCCCTAGAATTATATGGCTTCTGCCTCTCCATCCAATAGGGGGCAGAAGCCATATAGGGTGCATGGAAAGGAAAAAGCAAAGCAAACCAGCTCCTGAAGCCCTTTCTTAATCACAATAGAGAGTAGAGTACCTTTGTTGTGGGTGTCTGGCTGCCAGGCAAGCTGGCCATGCCTGTGAAGACAGGGAATGAGGTGAGGATTTGAAGCAGTCCCTCCCCAGAAGGAAGCCAAGGAAACCCCAGACCAGCAGGTTTCTCCAGGGCAGCCACCTGCGAGAGCTCCTGGAAGCCCAGGAGTGGCCTGTTTGGGTTTCTTAGTTCAAGGGGATACCTGTGGGTAAAGAGGAGGCAGCCCAGAGAGGATCTCCATGAGGTTCAATGCTGATTACTAAAGTGAAAGTGGACAGGGCCAACCAAGGCTTAGCAAGACAACCAGGTGTGCATCTAAGAACCTCAAAGCATCTCTCTGCAACCACAGGTCTTGGGCCGAGGCCTCTCCAGTAAACCCTCTTATCCTTCTTCCAGGAAACCTGCAAACGTCTCGCAAATCAGATCCCATTCATAATTCAGTATTTTATGCTCCGAGAGAATGGCAACTGTTTGCAAAAAGACATGATGCATATATTACAGGAAAGAGATCGCTATTCCTGGTTGCTTCAAGAACAAAGTGAGACTGCCACCAAGAGAAAATTCCTTAAGGACAAGATTTCCAGGCTCACTAAGGCACGGCATGCACTCCATACATTCTCCTTGGAAGGATCTATTGTGGGGTGACAATGTTCATGGTTATTTGCTTTCATGCATGCATTCATTCTGCTTTGGGGCCAGACTCTTCTGCTGCTGTCTGTTTCCATCTAGGCTGTTCTGCCCTCAGCACTGGAACTTATAAAAGATGTCCCCATGGGTTCAACTGTCACCTTGGCTGAGTTCTTCCCTGACCTCCAGGAAGAGGTGGTTCTCCAATCCTGAGCCCCATAGCACATAGTTAAAGTGTTCTTAGATACTGCTAATTTATCTTTGCATCCCCCCATTAGATTATGAGACCCTAGAGGGGGAGGGTCTGTGTCAAATTCTTCATTTGTATTTGCAGAATCTTGCACAGCACCTAGGGCACAGTAACCACTTAATATATGATGTCTCATGAACCAAAGTGAAGTGATGGGGACACCTAAGGCCATCACTTAAGACCAGGCCTTGGTTTTTAATGCTGCTTAGCTGGTCACTTTCGGATGCATCCAGTCATGCCACCTGCTTCCCATCCTTCACTGTAATCATGTTTCCCAGCCCTCTCAGGCCCCACAGAAATGAGCCTGGTACTGTTTTCTCCTTGAGTAGTTTCCCTGATTGCAATGAGTTTCTATTCCCCTGTTAAGCCTTAAAGAGGAATTTAATAAAGATAATTTTTTTAAAATACAGAATTTTACACCAGTGATCATCTCTAGAGTGGAGGATGGTGGGCAATTTTATTTTCTTCTTTACACTTTTCTGTATTTTCCAAACAAGGAGCATGAATTTTAATAAAAACACAAGAGGATACATATCATTATTTGTTTGTTTTTACACCCAAGCTTGAGATGGAAAGAGTGCCTCTAAAACATTCTGCTTTGGTCAGGGGTACAGACAAGGAGGATACACATGACATAATTTTTTCTTCACTTGCTGTAAAAGAAGTTGAAGAAGAAAGTCCAAGTTCAAATCACAGCTTGACTAGCATCCCCCAAGAAGTGTTTCACTAATACATGATAATGTATTATTAGTGTGCTATGGCTGCCATAACAAATATCAAAGACTGAGTGGCTTAAATAGCATAAATTTATCTTCTCACAAACCCAGAGGCTAGAAGTCCGAGGTGTTGCGACATTTGGTTTCTCCGGAGGCCTCTCTTCTTGGTTTACAGACGGCTGCCCTCTTACTATGCCTTTCTTTATCTTTCTTTCAAGGACACCAGTCCTTTTGACTCAGGGTCCCACTCTTATGACCTCATGTAACATCAATTACCTCTTTAAATACCCTATCTTCAAGGCAGTCACTTTGAGGGTTAGGGTTTCAACAAATGAATTTCGAAGGGGTGCCCTAATTCAGTCTTTAACAGCTAGTAAGAAAATAAGCACATGCATTCTGAACACAAAACTTGATCAATTACCAAACATTTGGGAGAATTTATCTCTAAGTCAAAAGCCAAAAATAACATTGATTAGTCAATCACTAATCAATGTTATTATTGGCTTTTGAATTAGAGATAGATTACATTGTTAAGCTACAGGGGATGGGTTGTAGTGTCTGGTGTGGCATTATCAGGTTAATTCTACATGTTAATGCTACTTGTGGCAAGAGCAAGAAGTTTTAAGAGATGAATATATGCTCAAATGAAACAAACCAAATGAACATGGAAAGGCTGATATTGATTTATTGCTGTGTTTCAGTTATCTATTGCTGTGTAACAAGTGTCCCAAAACTTAGTGACTTAAAATGGCAGCAATGTTTCTTTCTTGGGGTTCTGTGGTAAGTCTGGGTGATTTCTGCAGATCTCTCCTGGACTCACCCATGGGTCACAATCACACAGATGCTAGACAGGCTGGAAGGTCTAAGGGGGGCTTGCTCACCAAGCCACATTTCCATAAGGAGCACTTGGGTTCCATTAGCACTGATTTTCAAAATTAAAAATGTTGACCTAAAAGGAAGAAGTTGAGGTAAAATTAATATAAGTAGAGTGTTTATTTGTGCCATGCTTGAGGACTACAACCCCAGGAGCATGGAATCAAGTAGCCCTATGTTCCATGAAAGGACTGTATATACAAAGTGACCCCCAAATGTAGAAGGAGCCAAGAAGCCAAAGAAAGAGGCAGGGAATTCCAGTTTGTTAGTTTTGGGTGATTTATTGAGAGATGACAGAGCATAGACTTGGGTGGCCAGAAGACCAGTAAATCACTGTACTGTTACTTCCCAGACCCAGGGTTCATAGGAAAAGAACATGTGTGCTCTAACATGTGGACAAAAGATGCCACGCTCTGTGTAACATTTAAGAAAGTTTATTCTGAGCCAAATATGAGTGGCCTAGACCCATGGCACTGTCCCAAGACGTCCTGAGAACACGTTCCTGAGGTGGTTGAATTGCAGTTTGGTTATGTACAACTTAGGAAAACAGAAGTAACAAAAACCATACATCAAAGTGTATGAGATGTATATTGGTTTGGCACAGGAAGGTGGGACATCTCTAAGCAGGTGCTTGAAGGTTAGAGGTAGATTCAGAGATTTGCTCTAGGGAATTTTGAAATCGCATTGCCTTACTGAGATAATGGGTAGCTTGAGGAATATGAGGAAGTTAAGTTTCTTGATCTATAGATGAAGCCTCATAGGTGGCAGTTCTGAGAGAGAGAGTAGATAGCATATGCCTAGTCCATCTGAGGATTCTCCAGAAGGGGATACTATACAGATGAAAGTTCCCCCAAGAGAGGCTTTGCAGATTTTAGATTTCCTTCTTTATCTGCTATGTGATGCTATGCCAGAATCAGGTTGGAAAGGAAGCCATCTGATGAGATTTTATAGGGTGTAACTCCCCAGGTCCCTTAGTTAGGAATTTGGAAAATAAAATAATAATTTAGTCCTTAAGTAGAACAATTAAAGGCAATCCTTCAGAACAGGCAAGGATGCATATAACATATAATTTGTATGCCAACATTGAGGTTGCTTTAATCTGAAAGCAGGAATACATGTTCTTACCCTAGGGACAGTAAATAAAGTAGAAATCAGGAGGCATTCACAGAACTGGGGCTAATCAGAAATCAACATATCAGCATCCAAGATGGAGTCTCTTTTGTCACCACACCCTGAATCTGCATTCCAATTAGCAGCAGGTACAAGTGGATTTTTAAAGGCAAAATAGGGGGCAGAGAGTGGGCAAATACAAAGTTCTTTGTCAGAAATTCTCATTGATGTACAGAAATGGCATTGATTGGCTAAACACTGTCAAGCTATTGGGTGTGGGTTACAGCATCCAGTGTGGCATTATTAGGTTAATTCATAGCTACTTGTGGCAGTAACAAGCAGTTTTAAGAGATGAATACAAGCTCAAAGCTGGGAATAAGATGCAATTGCTGTCTCTCTTTAATGTCTCTCTGGGCCTGATAATTAAAAGGACAGGCATGCCTCAGATAAAATTATTTTCTTTTCTTAAGAACAATGGAGAAAGGCTGCCCAGCTACCTGTACCTACAGAACCTCTTATTGTGGCTGGTTGGGAACTGGGTGGGTTGCCCAGTTTCTATAGGATAAGCTTCATGGACACTCACTCATTTTTAGTACTTGGGAATTATCTGAAGTAGCATACTTACCCATAAATCTCCCTCCCTGCTCAGAGAGTCTAGAGAAGAACCACAGAGGCCCAGCCCCAAATACTTCTTGCACTGGCTTCTATGATGAGAGATAGCTGGCACTTGTAGACATATGTTTCAGGAGTGAGAATAAAGAAGGGAAGGCCACCATCAGAAATATCAGTTCTGGGTCTCTTGAATGGGGAAGACTGCCCTGGGGGACAGGGCCCGGCCCTTGGCTGAGAGAGTCTCTCATAACCATGAGCCTCCACACTGGAGCTCACCTAAGCACCCCCAAGCATGTACTAAGTGCCTAGCATGCACGTGGCACTGTGAGTACATAAATCTATAGAACAAAGCTGAGTTTTGCAGGTCTTGGCTAGTCTCAGGTTTGTGACACAAACAGGCATCAAGGAATGTTTTGCTTGTTTGCTGTTTTTATTATTTTTTTAGAGACAGAGTCGCTGTCTGTAGCTCAGGCTGGAGTACAGTGCACTATTATAACTTACTGCGGCCTCTAATTCCTGGGCTCAAGCGATCCTCCATCCTCAGCTTCCCAAGTAGCTGAGACTACAGATGCACACCACCATGCTTGGCTAGTTTTATATTTTTTCATACAGGCAGGGTCTCACTATGTTGCCCAGGCCAGTCTCAAACTCCTGGTCACAAGAGATCCTCCTGCCTCAGCCTCCTGAGTTGCTGAGAGCCCAACTCAAGGAAAGTATTAGTGGGCAATACTTTCACCATTTCTCCTTTGTATCAGAAAATGAGCTTTGACCACCTTGTCCATGAATCCTTCCTGAACACTTTCCTCTCGTCTACCCCAGCACCACCCCAAAGCCCTCTCCTGGGTGCCCAGTGCTCCTGGATTGAGCTTCCCGAGCAGCACATAGCTGCTAGTGCCTTGAGCTTATCCTTTGTTTACTCACCAGCGCCCCCTACCTGTCTCCTTATAAGCAGTGGTTTTGTCTTATTTATTTGCATGGCCCAAGCCTCCAGCATAGAACCTAGCAGGGTGCCCAATAAATGTTTGAGAAGGCCTGGCTCGGTGGCTCAGCCTGTAATCCCGCGCTTTGGGAGGCTGAGGTGAGTGGATTGCCTGAGCTCACGGACTCAAGACCCACCTGGGCAACTTGGTGAGACCTTATCTCTGCAATAAATCAAAAATTAGCCGAGCGTGGTAGCACGCGCCTGTAGTTCCAGCTACTTGGAAGGCTGAGGAGGAAGGATCGCCAGAGCCCAGCAGGTCGAGGCTGCAGTGACTGGGAGCGGCCACTGCCCTCCAGTCTGGGCGACAGAGTGAGACTCCAACTCAAAAAAAAATTGTTTGAGGAAAAGGAATGTGAAAGGAGGGGAGAAGAGAGTGTATCGGGAAAATAGAGAGGCCGTGACGCTAAGACTATTATAGGAAGTGGCAACTTTATTATGCCGGTGGGCTCGACAGGCTAATGCTTCCAGGCCAACCTCCCAGAATGGGAGAAGTGGGGTCTTATGCCTTTGTTTAGGTAAGGGAGGGAGTCGTGTTGCCCGATTACACATTCTCTTTGCAATTTACAAGGTTGTGTTCACAAAAATCAGGTCTTTCAAAGAACAAATGGTCTCCAGGAAGCGAGCAGGGGTTGTAAACTGATAAGGAGAACGGTTGTGAATTAGGTACTCTTTCTTTTGCATTTCCACGAGAGCCTTCAGTCTCTAGCCACTTGGCCTTTTTCAAACAAAACTGGCCTGGTGGGTCTTTAGAGCTTGCCACTTGACTTTCAAAAGAAATACCTTTAATTGCTACCAGCTCCCTTCCTGCTCCAAGGGAAGGAGAGGAGGGAGAGGGGTGTCAGACCCTCAGTTTATCTCTCCTAGATCCAGTCAAGGGAGGGCCTCAGAGGAGGTCTGGCTGTATCAATACAGATTCCTTACAGATGCAAATCCCTCCCCAATGTCCCCCTCCCTCCCACTTCTCTGCAAACAGCTTTGCAAAGCTACTTGCTGTGCACTGACTCTGAGTAGCCATCTCTAAAAATGTCAGACACATGTTTTGGGGTAAATATTTTAATTTCCTTCGGTGGGTGGGCCATGTGTACAGGAAAGCACGGCCCAGGTCCTGCAGTCTCCTAGCTCTGCTCCGCATTGATCCCCAAAGCTCTCCCAGCATTGCAGGATTTCAGCATCTGTCCCCTCCTGGTAGGGCTCACTGATGGACCCCAAACAGAAAAGAAGGCGAAGTACTGGCCTTGACCTCGAGGACCTGAAGCAACCTGGTCAAACGACAGCCTTCTCGTGCTCAGTTCCAAAAGGATCGACTGATGGAGCCCCTTAAAAATGAAGGTTCTCATACAGTAGTCTGGAGGTGGCCCCTACAATTCTAACATGCTGGGGGGGGGGCGGAGCTGACGCCACGGGTCTTGGGACCACTCTTCGAGAAGCACGGGCCTACGTTACACAGAAGAGAAAACAAAACCTGGCAAAGATACTGGACTTGCGCCCAAGGCCGGACCGGGTGGAGGTGGGCCTGGAGGCGTCAGCGTGGGCGGATTGCCCGGGAGGAGGTTTTGGATGCTCGGCAGTTCGCGAACCGCCCGAGAAGCAGCACAACCGTATCCAGATTGGTGGCGACGCGGCCCTAGAGTGCGACACGGGTAGGGGTTGTTCCTGACGCCCTCCCCTCCTTTCGGCTCGCTCCTCTTCCTGGCACCGCCCCCTCCTCACGGTCCAACCCCTCCTAGCCCTCCCCTCCTCACAGCACCGCCCTCTCCTTTTGGCATCACTCCCTCCTTCCGCGCCACAGCCCCCGCCTCTCAGCATAACCCCTGCTACCCTCCCTTCCAACCTGCATCTCCCTCTCCTCCCGGTGCCGTCCCTCCTTCGAGCACCGGCCCCTGCTCCCCTGCCGCCTGAATTCTGGAATTTGGCGTCAGATAGCTTGACTTTCCTTTCTGGGTTCCATGGAGTAGAAATGAAACTGAAACTGAGTTTACTGGGAAATTCGCGATAGAGTTTGGGAGCGGGAAGAAGAGTGGCTCAGAGTCACATGAGGCCCAAGTCTGCAGGACCGGAACCAGCCTTCCTGATTCACCATTCAGTGACCTTCAGTCAGTCAGGGGAGGCTTCAGGAAGCAAGTCTACTAGGCCCGGGGGAAAATAATGTGTAAAAGAAAAGACAATCTCAGGACTCCTATGTGAAGGGGAGAATTCAGCCTGGGAACCGAGTTATGCAACACTGCCATTCTCTTCCCAAACAGATGACTGTAATTCCACACTTCGGTGTCACAGCATTGTACATAAGCCAGGTTTCCACAGAAGAAAAGACCTCATGCCTCTTCACATGGGTTGCCGTCTTCAAAGGGCTCACCAGGAAATTCCTTGGCCTCTAATCCTTTCAGGATATATATCCAAGCATATGCCAGTTGTAATCTTAGATCTGCAGCCTAAGTTTAACTCCTAAAACTGAGTTCTGCTAAATCTCACCCACAATGTGCATCACAAGCTTATCTTCCCAGGTGCAGAACAAGTACAAGATGAGATCCCCATTAATCCCAGCACTTGGGAGGCTGAGGTGAGGGAATTGCCTGAGTCCACGGGTTTGAGAACAGCCTGAGCAACTTGGCGAGACCTCATTTCTACAATAAATCAAAAAATTAGCCGGGTGTGGTAGCATGCGCCTGTAGTTCTGGCTACTTGGAAGG